CACTGAAAAGCAGTTTTAATGTTGCATCACTATTCTGAACATGCGCGTAATCAGTTTAACTTTTATTTTAACAATGATTCTGCGGTATTATTACACACTTACCTCGGATACCTCTTATTGTAAAATGGAGATTGGAGGATAGCTGCTGGAAACACTAAAAAACCAATCAAAATAAATCATCATTGCATAGGCATTCCCAGCTAAGTAACATTAAACACTTTATCAGCGAAAGAAATCATTCGATTCGTGGCCTGAATCTTAGGTACCGGTAATTTTTTCTCTCGTTTTGATGAACAAAGAATGTTTTGTGACGCCTCTCAAGGATGTACTTCAGTCCGCAGTTAATTATCCTTTTGTATGTAAATGGAATATGACAATCGTTTCCGAAAACATAAACCCTTTCGGAAGAAATAAAGTATCTTTGAGCCATGATGGTCTTTTGACATGTGTGAGCTTAAAGGTTCAGATATATAAAATTTCTTTTACTCACCCATTTTGTTAGCCAACATATCGTAGTAGGCGTTTATAGATATTGGTGATAGAGCCCATCTAATGATAAACACGATGAGAATTAATTAGTGGTTACTTTGTAAGCAAATGTAGACATGAGAAAAATAGACACAATATTTGTAGCAGTGAGAAGTACTCGAGGTTCTATAATAACGCTTGAAGGTGGCGTTGCACAATATTTGTCTCACAAGCAAAACAGAAAACCAGCTGCATATTCGTGAGTACCCTGTTCCACAAGAGAAAGATGATTCTAGAATACACTGTCCAATTGACATTCAACCAATAATTAGATGGTAACAAATAATATTATTAAAAATGACAATAGTGATAACAGCAGTAATATAATAACTTAAAGGGACTAGCTCGAAAGCCTCATGGTCCCCCTACCCTTTGGGCTCCAACAAGGATAACCTATGCTTCTTTATCGTATTTCGCAGCTTGCTCGCTTCGCAAACTTAGCGGCCCTTTTTCGGCAAAAAGCCGCTGGTTCAAACAGTGAAATGTCCTCTTTTCAAAGAAAAAGTTTTCCTTGAAGCTTACATGATGTGTAGATATTTTTGAGAGAAAAAGTTTTGATTTAAATCATGCGTTGGTGGATACCATTGTGAAATTATTTTGAGATGTTTATCGTCTTTTGCAGTGTCAGTTACGGCAAGAACTGAAATTATTACATCGCCATATCTACATAATTTCCTGATTTTGACGTTAAAATGCTCGCTCTTCAAAGAAAATAATTTTCCCCCAGGTTTCATGATGCACCGATCACACCTATTAATATTTTGTGCAAGGAAAACTTCTGCTTTAAATCGTGCGCATGCCTGAAATGATTATGAAATTTTTTTCGCTTTCTGCGGTCTTCCATAGTGTCACAGCAAGAAATGAAAAGATAATGTGCTAGAGGCTATTGAGTACAAATGCTGAGCTACTAAGAGACTCTGATCGAAAAAAGGAGCACTGGGAAACATCGGGTCAAAATAGGGTCAATGTTGCACTCACTCACTCAATCATCTCGACAACATCTGTGGCTTCGCCTCCTGTAGGAGGCAGTAGCCACGAAAAAGGTTTAAGTTTTGTGCACTGCAGCAAATGAAGTGAATAAAGGAGTGTACGAGTAATTTGGTACTCCCCCTATCAATTATCTTTGCATAAAACATATTTCATTTCTGAGCCTATTCGAAAAAGATAATTTTGAATAGGTTGTTTTGAATAATAAGCTGGATTTGTCAAATCGTGAAAAAAGTCTTCAAAACGTTCTTTTTGCACCTGGTGGGTCAGCAGATGGTATAATTGCCCTCCCTACCCCCTTCCCCGCCTACCCTGGCTGTATTCCCTGAAAGATACCTCACAAAATTGTATCAATAATAACTCTCGCACAACGACAGTCAAGTGCCAACTCTTATATAAAGGGTAACAGAAAGCCAAATCAAGCATGTAACACGTGAGCACGTAACACGTAACGCATGAGCACGTAACATGGTCGACAATTACCTAGTCTCGTCGACGAGTTTTCCAAAGTAAGCGAGATCTCTTTCAGTTATGGCCTGGTCCAATGATAACTCATTCTCGAAGTAGGTTGATTGATTGCAGTTGACCTGTTTGTTGTCACAAAGGCAAAGAAATGATCATTACTTGAACTTTACGGTAGCCCCTTCCCATCTTTGTTAGCTATGATTGATATTCAATAAAATAAGATAGGATGAGATGGGATGGGATGAAAGATAAGATGAGATAGATGAGATGAGGTGAGATGAGATAAGACGAGACGAGACGAGAGGAGATGAGATGAGACGAGACGAGACAAGAAGAGATGAGACGAGATGAGATGAGACGAGACGAGACGAGACGAGA